ACACGCCAGTGCCTTTACTCCTCAGATCGGCCTTCCGCTCTAAATCGTGGAAAAATATGGCGGTCACTCCATGGCCCTTCAGCGGCACGTGCGCTGCTGAAGTGCCACGTAGTGTTGCCCCAAAATATCGGACTCTACACTGCCCTAAGACGACACGTTAGTGCCTTTACTCCTTAAATCGACTTCCGCTCAAATCAGTGGCCAAAGATGGCGAATAGTCTATAGACCTTCTGCGGCACGTCCGCGGCTGTAGTGCCGCGTTGCGGTGCCCCAAAATGGCGGACACTTCACTGCCCTACTACGACACGCCATTGCCTTTACTCCTCAGCAGGGCTTCCGCTCTTATCCGGGACCAAAGATGGCGAACACTCCCCGGCCCTAATGCGGCACTTGCACGGCTGTAGTGCCGCGTTGCTGCGGCCCAACATGTCGGACGCAACACTGCCCGACTACGACACGCCAGTGCCTTTACTCCTCAGTTCGGCTTCCGCTCTAATCAGTGGCCAAAGATGGCGGACCCTCCATGGCCCTACTGCGGCACGTGCACGGCATTATAGCCGCATTGCGGTGGCCCAAAATGCCGGACTCTACACTGTCCTACTACGACATGCCAGTGTCTTTACTCCTCAGTTGGGCTTCCGCTCTAATCCGTGGCCAAAGATAGCAAGCACTCCCTGGCCCTAATGCAGCACGGCTGTAGTGTCGCGTAGCGGTGGTCCAAAATGGCAGAAAACTACACTGCCCTACTACTACACGCCAGTGCCTTTACTCCTCAGATCGGACTCCGCTCTAATCAGTGGCCAAAGATGGCGGACACTCCATAGCCCAACTGCAGCCCGTCCGCGGGGGTAGTGCCGCACTGCGGTGCCCCAAAATGTCAGACTCTTCACTGCTTAACTACGACACACACGCAAGTGCCTTTCCTCCTTAGTTCGGCTTCAGCTCTAATTAGTGACCAAAGAAGGCGGACGCTCTATGGCCCTACTGTGGCACGTGCGCGGCTGTAGTGCCGCGTTGCGGAGCTCGAAAATGGCGGACTCTACGTAGAACTCGTACGACGCGCCTGTGCCTTTACTCCTCAGTTGAGCTTCCGCTCTAATCCGCGGCAAAAGATGGAGGACACTCCACGGCCCTACTGCGGCACGTGCGTGGCTGTAATGCCAAGTTGCAGTGGCCCAAAATGTCGGACTCTACACAGCCCTACTACGACTCGCCAGTGCCTTTACTCCTCAGTTCGGCCTTCCGCTCTAAATAGTGGAAAAATATGGCGGTCACTCCATGGCCCTTCAGCGGCGCGTGCGCGGCTTTAGTGCCGCGTTGCGGTGGCTCAATAAGTCGGACGCTACACTGCCCGACTACGACATGCCAGTCCCTTTACTCCCCCGTAGGGCTTCCGCTCTAATCCGTTGCCAAAGATGTTGGACCATCCACTGCCCTATTGCGGCGCGTCCGCGGCTGTAGTGCCGTGTTGCAGTGGTCCGAAATGTCTGACTCTGCACTGCCCTACTACTTCACGCCAGTGCCTTTACTCCTCATTTGGGCTTACGCTCTAATCAGTCGCCAAAGAAGGCGGACAATCTATGGCCCTACTGCGGCACGTGCGCGGCTGTAGTGCCGCGTTGTGGTGCCCCAAAATGGCGGACACGTTAATATTTCGGGTATTTACCTAATTTTTAGCGGAATTCCACAACCTGTCGCAAGTGTCACGGATATGTACAGTCACGGAAAAAAGTATCCGGAGAGTAACAAATAAAGAATCCTTTATTTTTTTAATCCTCAGTTGAGCTTCCGCTCTAATCCGTTACCAAAGATGGCGGACACTCCACGGCCCTACTGTGGCACGCGCGTGGCTGTAGTGCTGCGTTGCGGTTTCCCAAAATGGCGGACACAACACTGCCCTTCTAGACTCTACCAAAGAATTAAGTTCTCAGTTGCGCTTCCACTTTAATCTATGGCCAAATATGGCGGACCCTCCATGGCCCTTCTGCGGCACGTGCGCGGCTTTATTGCCGCGTTGCGGCGGCCCAAAATGGCGGACTCTACACTGCCCTACTACGACACGCCTGTGCCTTTACTCCGCAATTGAGCTTCCGCTCTAATCCGTGGCCAAAGATGGCGGACACTCCACGGCCTTACTGCGGCACGTTCGTGGCTGTAGTGCCGCGTTGCGGTGGCCCAAAATGGCGGACACTGCACTGCCATACTAGACTCTACCAAAGACTTAAGTTCTCAGTTGCGCTTCCGCTTTAATCAGCGGCCAAATATGGCGGCCCCTCCATGGCCCTACTGCGGCACGCGCACGGCTTTATTGCCGCGTTGCGGTGGAACAAAATATCGGACTCTTCACCGCCCTACTACTACACGTCAGTGCCTTTACTCCTCAGTTCGGCTTCCGCTCTAATTAGAGGCCAAAGATGGCGGACAGACTATAGCCCTACAGCGGCATTCCGCGGCTGTAGTCAGGGCCGGATTTACGTATAAGCTAAATAAGCTGTAGCTTGGGGCCCCGAGATGGCAAGGGCCCCCAGATCCAACTTTTTCCTTCTTTTTTTAAAGTTTTATTCGGAGCTGGGGCCCTCTAAAGCCTAAAATATTTTTTTCTTCTTTTTTACATTGGCGAACGCTTTTCAAAATCTAATAGAAGTGTTTACAAATATAAAATAATTGTTCCCTTTACTTTTTTAACTAAAAGAGCAATAAAAAGGCCTTTTGAATGATGAAAATATCCTGTAGCTTTCGTAGCTACCAGTGATGGGAATAGTCCATGGATTCTAAAAAGCGGTACTCCATGGAGTAGTCAAATAGCCGCCTCAATTTACACTGTGGGAAATGTTTTCAGCTTCTTTAAATTGCTGTGGGCTTTTTTGTCCACAGAAACACCCTTTTGTCTGATTTCTGGGCAAAAAATTTCTAGGGCTGTGCGACAGTTTTGTTTAGGGTCACTCTGTTTCGAGATTTCCGTTTGTGTCTCATTGTCATTAAAGAGCTTCTCGTTTAATTTTAACTTTTCTTTTTTGCAAAATATATTTTTTCCAATTTATTACAAAACTTTTTTTCCTTTTAATTATCCTAAATGTTTTAACTAGCTTAATTGTTTAATTTACTTAATTATTGTAATTGATTTTAATTTGTTATTTTCCAAATTAATCGTACATGAATCCGTGAACTCCTTTCTTTATTTATTTAAATGGTGGGCCACTATTCAATTCCCTCTTTGACAGGCCTATCTGCCAAAATTCTTGATTTGGTTTATTTTGGATGAAATTGAGATAACAGGTGTGGTTTTACTTTAATTCTACTCACTGCTAATAGACAGATGCAACATGTGATATTGCTTGATAGAGCATTGAAATCAAGTGATCATCAGCTAAACAAATATTTAAATATATACGTAAAAAATATTGTTCAAACCTCTTGACTGACCAAATTTTCCATGTATCCCCGAAATATGAATTATGTTTAATTTGTAAAATATGATATTTCGTATCCAAAATTCCTTTATTTAGTTAGCTTATGATTTTATTGTTTATTGATCATACTTGTTTCTATTTTTAACTCCCTGATTTTTGTTGTTATTATGCGTTTAAAGTTAATAAGCCATCTAAATTTTTTAATTTATAAGGATTTATCAGTGGATAAAGATGGCGGACACTCCAAGGCCCTTCTGCGGCACGTGCGTGGCTGTAGTGCCACGTTGCAGTGGCCCAAAATGTCGGACTCTACACTACCTTACTACGACATGCCAGCGCCTTTACTGCTCAGTTGGAATTCCGCTCTATTCCGTTTTCAAAAATGGCGAACACTCCCCGGACCTACTGCGGCACGTGCACGGCAGTAGTGCCGCGTTGCAGTGGCCCAACAAGTCGGACGCAACACTGTCCGACTACGACACGCCAGTGCCTTTACTCCTCAGTTCGGCTTCCGCTCTAATCAGTGGCCAAAAATGGAGGACACTCCACGGCCCTACTGCGGCACGTAATAGGCTGTTGTGCCGCGTTGCGGTGGCCCGAAATGGCGGACACTACACTGCCCTACTAGACTCTACCAAAGACTTAAGTTCTCAGTTGCGCTTCCGCTTAAATCAGTGGCCAAATATGGCGGACCCTCCATGGCCCTACTGCGGCACGTGCGCGGCTTTATTGCTGCGCTGCGGTGGCCCAAAATATCGGACTCTGCACTGCCCTACTACGACGCGTCAGTGACTTTACTCCTTAGTTCGACATCTACTCTAATCAGTGTCTAACGATGGCGGACAGTCTATAGCCCTACTGTGGCCCGTGTGTGGCTGTAGTGCCACGTTGCAGTGGCCCAAAATGTCGGACTCTACACTACCTTACTACGACATGCCAGTGCCTTTACTGCTCAGTTGGAATTCCGCCCTAATCCGTTTCCAAAAATGGGGAACGCTCCCCGGAGCTACTGCGGCACGTGCACGGCTGTAGTGCCGCGTTGCAGTGGCCCAACAAGTCGGACGCTACACTGCCCGACTACGATACGCCCGTGCCTTTACTCCTCAGTTCGGCTTCTGCTCTAATCAGTGTCTAACGATGGCGGACGGTCTATTGCCCTACTGCGGCACGTGTGTGGCTGTAGTGCCACGTTGCAGTGACCCAAAATGTCGGACAATACACTGGCTTACTACGGCACGCCAGTGCCTTTACTCCTCAGTTGGGATTCCGCTCTAATCAGTGGATAAAGATGGCGGACACTCCACGGCCCTTCTGCGGCACGTGCGTGGCTGTAGTGCCACGTTGCAGTGGCCCAAAATGTCGGACTCTAAACTACCTTACTACGACATGCCAGTGCCTTTACTGCTCAGTTGGGATTCAGCTCAAATCAGTTTCCAAAGATGGCGAACGCTCCCCGGAGCTACTGCGGCACGTGCACGGCTGTAGTGCCGCGTTGCAGTGGCCCAACAAGTCGGACGCTACACTGCCCGACTACGATACGCCCGTGCCTTTACTCCTCAGTTCGGCTTATGCTCTAATCAGTGGCTAAAGATGGCGGACAGTCTATAGCCCTACTGCGGCACGTCCGCGGCTGTAGTGCTGCGTAGCTGTGGCCAAAATGACAGGATACTACACTGCCCTACTACTACACGCCAGTGCCTTTTCTCCTCAGTTCGGCTTCCACTCTAACTAATGGAAAAAGATGTCGGACACTCCATGGCCCTTCAGCGGCACGTGCGCTGCTAAAGTGCCGCGTTGCAGTGGCCCAAAATGGCGTACTCCACACTGCCCGACTACGACACGCCAGTGCCTTTACTCCACAGTTCGGCTTCCGCTCTAATCAGTGGCCAAAGATGGCGGACACTTCTGGCCCTACTGCGGCACGTGCTCGGCTGTAGTGCCGCGTTGCGGTGACCAAAATGGCAGGAAACTACACTGCCCTACTACTTCTCTCCTGTGTCTTTACTCCTCAGTTCGGATTCCGCTCTAATCAGTGGCCAAAGATGGCGGACAGTCTATAGCCCTACTGCGGCACGTCCGCGGCTGTAGTGCCGCGTTGCGGTGCCCCAAAATGTCGGACTATGCACTGCCCGTCTACGTCACGCCAGTGCCTTTATTCCTCAGTAGGGCTTCCGCTCTAATCCGTGGCCAAAGATGGCTGACACTCCATGACCCATCAGCGGCACGTGCGTGGCTGTGGTGGTCCAACATGTCGGACGCTACACTGCCCGACTACGACACGCGAGTGCCTATACTCCTCAGTTCGGCTTTCCCTCTAATCAGTGACCAAGGATGGCGAACACTCCCCGGACCTACTGCGGCACGTGCACGGCTGTAGTGCTACGTTGCGGTGGCCAAAATGGAGGACTCTACACTGCCCGACTACGACACTCCAATGCCTTTACTCCTCAGCTAGGCGTTAGCTCTAATTAGTGGCCAAAGAAGGCGGACACTCTATGACCCAACTGCGGCACTTGCGCGGCTTTATTACCGCGTTGCGGGGGCCCATAATATCGGACTCTACACTGCCCTACTACGACACGTCAGTGCCTTTACTCCTTATTTCGACTTACGCTCTAATCAGTGGCCAAAGATGGCGGACACTCCATAGCCCTACTGCGGGACTTCCGCGACTTTAGTGCCGCGTTGCGAAGGCCAAAATGGCAGGAAACTTCACTGCCCTAAGACTACACGCCATTGCCTTTACTTCTCAGTTCGGCATCCGCTCTAAATTGTGGAAAAAGATGGCGAACACTCCATGGCCGTACTGCGGCACGTGCGCGGCTGTCGTGCAGCGTTGCGGTGGTCCAACATGTCGGAAGCTACACTGCCCTACTACGACATGCCAATGCCTTTACTCCTCAGTTGGGCCTTGAAGGGGTTTACCTTCTTTAGGTAAACACAGGGAGTCACGCCCCGGGGTACCCTAGTGATCTGTCCTCCCTTCCGTTTTCTCTCCCTTTACTCCTACTTTCTCCTTTCTCTTCCCCCTTGTCGTGGTTGCCGAATTTATTGGTAAGGGCTCTTTGTCTGTGTTTGATTACCACCCTGTTGTAACAGACCCAGATGGGAGGAGACCACTCGTATGTTTGCCGTGGGTGGAGACCCGTGTCCCTGGAAAAGGGGATCCTGGCAGTTGAGGCTCATCTTGGTACCCCAATACACTGCTTTGGCCCGTGCTTCAGGTAAACGGGAGGTGCATATTGGCCTGTTTGCACCAATCGGCTGGTCACAATCGTCATCTGTTGACTAGGGTCAAGCCCGATGTCACCTACTGGGCACCTCGTTAAGGGTGGAGGCTGCTTCAGGGTTGACTTACGGGCGTATAGCTATTGGTCAGCATCGGTGTCAGATAGCGGGTTGGTGGCAACACCAATTCGTTAATTGCTTCCCATAAGTAGGACTCCGTGGTGGGTGTTGCCGCTAGTAGTAGAAATAATTCTTATTTTCTATGGCTGAAAATGGTAAGGTGTTCAGTTCCGCACACCAAAGCAAAAACAGCGGAACACCCCTTACACCATATGACTACGCTAGATTCTTTATGATAAATCTAACTAACCCTGCTATACCAAATACATCTTTCACTAATGTATCTCCAATTTTGATACACAAGGCTCTTCTCTCCGTTTTGGGGGAAGTAACCTCTGTGAAAAAGCTGCGTTCTGGCGACCTCCTCGTACAAGTCTCCTCAGATAAACTAGCTACTGTCTTAACAACATGTACTAAAATGTGCTCGTTTGATGTTGCTATTACACCACATAAATCTTTGAACACCTGCAGAGGTGTTATTTCAGAAACAGATTTCATAAATGACACAGAAGAAATGATAGTAGAGGAATTTGAAAACCAACATGTTTCATCTGTACTAAGGATCAAGATTCGCAGGGATGGTAAACTCATCCCTACGAAGCATCTTATCCTTACGTTTAACTTGCCCAAACTGCCATCTTCGGTGAAGCTTGCTTGGCATAACTGTCCAGTTCGACCATATGTGCCCAATCCTTTGAGATGTTTTAATTGTCAAAGGTTTGGACACTCTAAAGCATCGTGTCGAGGCAAAGCTACCTGTGCTCGTTGTTTTGGCATTGACCACGAGGACAATTTCTGTGAGTTGCCACCCTTTTGCGTAAATTGCGAGGGTGATCATGTGGCCTACTCCAGGGGTTGTCCTAAATGGTCACAGGAAAAGGAAATACTATCTATCAAAGTAATGCAAAACCTGACATTTAGTGAAGCACGCCGAATAGTTACAGCCCGTACACCTCGTCCGGGTGTGTCCTATTCTGCGGCTGCTAAGATTTCATATAATTCAGTGAGCACTCAAACCGATATTTTACCAGCAAATTCCTCACAGCACACAAACCGAAAACTTCCTATTCCATCTACTACACTCAACAAAAAACCCGTATTTAATTTCACTGGACCGTCGACATCTCGTAGGCCTATATCAACTTCTCCTCCACCTACAAAAGCATCCCGAACTAATTTCTCAGAGAAAGTTCGGCCTGCCTCAGCGCTGAACTCGTACTCAAAACTACCACCTAGCATAACCAGAAAGAAGAAAAAAACCCAAATTTAATCAAAACAACAGTCAATCTACTTCTGCTTCACAGAAGATGGATGATGTTTTGACGCTACATCCTTCGGAAGATGAATCCCTTTTCGATGGGCGGCGAGCCTTCATCCACTTCAATGAAAAAGAAATAATGCCAATTTCTCTTATTTCTTGGAACTGTCGCAGTGCAAGAAATAAAATGTCTGATACCAGAGATATTGTTTTTAAATATCAACCCACATGTTTAGNGTATTTAATTTTACTGGACCGTCGACATCTCGTAGGCCTATATCAACATCTCCTCCACCTACAAAAGCATCCCGAACTAATTTCTCAGAGAAAGTTCGGCCTGCCTCAGCGCTGAACTCGTACTCAAAACTACCACCTAGCATAACCAGAAAGAAGAAAAAAACCCAAATTTAATCAAAACAACAATATCAACCCACATGCTTAGCACTTCAAGAAATATTTTTATCCCCATCAGATAATCGGAAAGATTGTGTCGATACTATTCGACCTACCGGTGGAGTTGCAATTTTAATCTCAACATATTTCCCATCATCTCGCCTTTTACTGTCTACTCCTGTACAGGCTGTTGCCGTTCAAGTTTACTTTAACACCCCCATTACAATCTGCTCTATTTATTTACCTCCGCATGCTTCGATACCCCAATCAGAGTTGAACTCATTACTTCATCAACTTCCGGCACCTTTCCTGCTATTCGGGGATTTTAATGGTCACAGCGAACTATGGGGTAGTTCCGACTCCAATGCTCGCGGACGCCAAATGGAAAATCTCATAACCGACCATAACTTATGTTTACTCAATCAAGGTGAGGACACATATTTTCATGCACCCACACAAACGTTCCATTGCATTGACCTAGCTGTATGTTCGCCTGCACTTTTGCCTTCTTCACAACTTTCGATCGATAATGATCTTCATAACAGCGATCACTTTCCTATAATTATTTCATATATAGATACTGTTAATAATACTCCCAGACCCTCTGTTTTCATATATCACCGGGCTGATTGGAATCTTTTCAATCAGCTTGCTGATATCACTGAAGATATGGTAACTGATAACAATATAAATGACGCAGTTGAGAATGTAACTTCACTCATAATACATTCTGCTAAAGTTTGCGTACCAAGGGCATCTACCTTTCCTCACCGTCTCCGTAAGCCTTGGTGGAATGCTGAATGCTCTAAAGCTCACAAAAAGAAACAGATATTATGGAATACCTTCCGTCGCTATCCAACAAGCGATAACTTTGTGGCTTTTAAACGAGCTAGAGCTTTTGCTCGCCGTACAAGACGCCATTCCCAAAGGGACTCTTGGAAGCGTTACATTTCATCCATCACATCTACGACATCTCCCAAACAAGTCTGGTCGAGAGTCAAGAGGGCCAATGGTATCTACCGTGAATTTCATCTTCCGGTATTTGATATAAACGGTACCACGTACTCTGACCCTGTAGATGTGACATCTTGGGTGAAACTTTCGCTGCTATCTCCAACTTTGACAGCTACAGTCAAACCTTTCAAGCTCACAAGCTAGTTGCTGAAAGCCGCAAAATAAATTTTAAAACGAGACAACATTTTCAATATAACCGAGCATTTACAGTCCTTGAATTACAACGAGCACTCGCTAAAGCCCCCAATGCAAGCCCTGGCTGCGATGGTATTGCATATTGCATGCTTCGCAACTTGAATACCGCGTCCTTGCACAACATTCTCGTGCTTTTCAACAGAATATGGTTGGAGCAGATCTATCCAAATAACTGGCGTGAGGCGATAGTTTTACCCATCTTGAAACCGGGTAAAGATCCGACAGAACCAACGAATTATCGTCCAATCGCGCTAACGAGTTGTTTTTGCAAAATTCTCGAGCGTATGATAAACTCGCGTCTTGTTTATTACCTCGAAAAGAAACATCTAATTCCCAACTTTCAAAGCGGTTTTCGCAAGGGTAGATCGACTATGGATAACATTGTAGCTTTAGAATCTCGTATACGAAATGCTTTTGTCCGACGTAGCCATTTTATCTCTATCTTCTTCGATATTGAGAAGGCGTACGATCGGACATGGCGCTACGGAATTCTGAAGGCTTTGTTTGACATGGGTCTCCGTGGTCATCTCCCTGCATTTATCAAAAACTTCCTGAGTCAGAGGTATTTTCGAGTCAAATTGGGTAGTACTTTCTCTGATGTCTTCATTCAATCCGAAGGTGTTCCACAGGGTAGCGTCCTAAGTGTCACACTTTTCATCGTNAATAAAATTGTTTATCTCAAGACACGTATTTTTAAAAGTTCATAAAATCAATAAAAGCGTAATTCTATAAAATACACAGAAAAGGTAAAACGGTTCATGGGTAGGAAATAAGAGTGAATAAAATCAGATAAAACAGTTATATACAATATAAAATACCAATAGCTCGCAGAAATGCGAAAATGTTAGGATGATGAATATCATCTAACAAATCCTTCATACATAAAATCGTGCTATTAAAAAAGGTAAGACGATGTTGGTTAAAACAAGGACAAATGGTTAAAATGTGATGAACCGTAAGTAAAGTATTGCAAGAGTCGCATTTGGGAGGAGATTCTCCAAACAACAGATGAAGATGCGTGACTTCACACCTTAAGAGGTTGGATACAGTGCATCGTACTGCCTTGCGTATATGTAGCGGCGCATTTCGTACTTCTCCAGTGGAAAGCCTGTATGTTGTGTGTCACCAATTGCCTCTAGATTTGAGACGAATGCAGCTCGGTTTAACATATTATCCCGTAATCTCATCCTCATCACACCCTTTTAAACGGGAAACACTCCCAGTAAGTTTAGAACGAATTTATGATGCTCGACTCTCACATGTTCGCCCTCTTAATGCTCGTATGCGCTCGCTCAACCAATCATTCAATATCTGTGAATCTACTACACAATGTGTCGATCACTCGCTTATTCCACCTTGGAACGTTTCACAGTATCATTTTCATTCTGCATTCGAAGTATATAGTAAGTCTCAAGTAGCGCCTAACATTTTTCAGCAACTATACAAAGCTCATCGTCATAAATATTGTCAATATGTTCCGGTTTTCACAGATGGCTCAAAATCTCCTGGCTATGTAGGCTGTGGTATTGTTATTTCTGACGACACCTACAGTTATAAAATACTAACTATATGTTCCATATTCACCGCTGAAGCCGTTGCAATTCTTTTGGCATTAAGGTTTATTTCAACCAGTTTGAATTAGGAATACTGCGTTTATTCGGATAGTATGAGCGTATTGCGCCAACTCAAGCATTTTGACAATGAAACTCATCCCATTTTGTGTTTTATACAGCATTTGCTATTTAATCTTCATAAAAATGGTTTCGATATTTTATTTTGCTGGGTTCCAAGTCACGTTGGAATCCCAGGCAATGATTTAGCCGATACAGCAGCGCGATCTGCTACTACTACTTTAAATTTATCTATACCATTCTCAGATGTAAAAATACATATTAAAAAGTATATAAAATCTTTATGGCAGCAGCAGTGGGATAACCAAGTGAATAATAAGTTGCACGCTCATAAGTCAAATTTGGAACCTTTCCCTGTGTTGCGACTACGTAGTGCAGATGTTAAGCTTACCCGTCTGCGAATCGGGCACACCAGACTGACCAATCTACATCTGTTGTTTGGTGAATCACCTCCTCAATGCAACACTTGTGGTGTTTTACTTTCGATTCACCATATTTTAATCATTTGCCCGTGTTTTAACAGACATCGTCTTACCTTTTTTGGTAGTTCTATTTTATCTATGGGAGATTTGTAGGGTGACTCTCATCATCGTAACATTTTTGCATTTTTACGTGCTACTGGCATTTTAAATTGTATATAAGTTTTATTTTATTCATGATTTATTCACTTTTTACCATTTTACTTGTCTCACAAAATTTTACTGTGTTTTAACTTTGACATGATCTCCACATATTTACGTGTCGTTGGTATTTTAACTGCATATAAAAATTTTAACACGTCTACTGTTTTATACAATTTTGTAAATATTTTATCACCTTCGTCCTTTTTACTTACTACGTATTATACTGTACTCATACTTTATATCTGATTTTATTCATACTTTTTATCTGATTTTTTTTATATCATTAATCTTGTCTTATTCACCTGCTAGTACTGTTTTATCAGTTATAAATATATTACAATTAAATTTGAATGCACTTAGACTTTTAAACTATTTGACCGTACTGTTTGGAGCAGCATGTCCTCATTTGGACCTTGTGCCACTAAACCCTACATTCAATCAATCAATCAATCCTCAGTTGGGCTCCCGCTCTAATCAGTCGCCAAAGATAGCGGACACTCCATAGCCCTACTGCGGTACGTCTGCGGCTGTTGTGCCGCGTTGCGTTGCCCAAAAATGTAGGACTCTACACTACTTAGCACATGCCAGTGCCTTTACTCCGCAGCTCGGCTTCAGCTCTAATTAGTGAAAAAAGAAGGCAGACACTCTATGGCCCTACTGCGGATGTAGTGCCGCGCTGCGTTGCTCCAAAATAACGGCCTATAATCTGCCCTGCTACGACACGCCTGGGCCTTTACTCCTCAGATCAGCTTCCGCTCTAATCCGTGGCTAAAGATTGCGGACACTCCTCGGCCCTTCAGAGGCACGTGCGCGGCTGTAGTGCTGCGTTGCGGTGGTCCAACATGTCGGACGCTACACTGCCCGACTACGACGCTCCAATGCCGTTACTCCTCAGCTGGGCTTCAGCTCTAATTAGAGACCAAAGAAGGCGGACACTCTATGTCCCAACTGCGGCTCGTGCGCGGCTGTAGTGCCGTGTTGCGGTGGCATGAAATGACAGACACTACACTATTCTACTAGAACCTACCAAAGACTTAAGTTCTCAGTTTCGCTTCCGCTCTAATCAGTTTCAAAAGATGGCGGACCCTCCATGGCCCTACTGCGGCACTTTCGCGGCTTTCTTGCCGCGTTGCGGAGGCCAAAATGGCAGGAAACTTCACTGCCCTACTACGACACGCCAGTGCCTTTACTCCTCAGTTGGGCTTTCGCTCTAATCAGTCGCCAAAGATGGCGGACACTCCATGGCCCTTCAGCGGCACGTGCGCGGCTGTAGTGCCCCGTTGGGGAGGCCCAACATGTCGGACGCTACACTGCCCGACTACGACACGCCAGTGCCTTTACTCCTCAGTTCGGCTTCCTCTCTAATCAGGGGCCAAAGATGGCGGACACTCTATAGCCCTACTGCGGCACGTCCGCGGCTGTAGTGCCGCGTTGCGTTGCCCCAAAATGGCGGACTCTACACTGCTCTCCTACGACACGCCTGTGCCTTTACTCCTCTGTTAAGCTTCCGCTCTAATCCGTGGCCAAAGATGGCGTGCACGGCAGTAGTGCCGCGTTGCGTTGTTCCAAAATGTCGAACTCTACACTGCCCTACTACGACACGCCAGTCACGCAGAGCTTTTACATTTTTCTTACATATAGACAAGAATCGAGAAATATTCCAACACCCTTTACACTCGGTCACTAATCCAAATCTAAGGATCTATTTTCTCAATTAATTGTACACTTCTTTGATATGTTGAAGTTATCTCTTTATTTAGAGAGAAAAGTAGTTTCCTGCAATTTTTGCTTCATTTTTAATTATTTCCGCAGAACTTTTATATTTGTCGTACATATAGACAAGAATCGAGAAATATTCCACCCTTTTCATGCAGGCACTAATCTGAATCTAAGCATCTATTTTCTCAATTAATTGTATACTTCTTTGATATGTTGTAGTTATTTATTTATTTTAAGAGGAAACCAGTCTTTTCCAATCTTCGCTTCATATTTAATTATTTCCGCCGAACATTTATGTTTGTCTACACATTGAGAAAAATCGAGAAATATTCCAACACACTATTCACGCAGTCGCTAATCTAAATCTAAACATCTATTTTCTCAATTAGTTGTTTACTTCTTTGACATGTTGTAGTTATTTCTTTATTTTAGGAGAAAACTAGTTTCCTCCATTCTTTGCTTCTTATTTAATTAATTCCGCAGAACTTTTATATTTGTCTTACATATAGACAATAATCGTGAAATATTTGAACACGCTTTTCACGCAGTCACTAATCTAAATCTAAGCATCTATTTTCTCAATTAATGGAACACTTCTTTTATATGTTGTAGTAATTTCTTTATTTTGAGAGAAAACCAGTCTTTTCCAATCTTTGCTTTATGTTTAATTATTTCCGCAGAATTTTTATATTTGTCTTACATATAGACGAGAATCGAGAAATATTCCAATACCCTATTCTCGCAGTTACTAATCTAAATCTAAGCATCTATATTTTCTCAATTAATTGTATACTTCTTTGATATGTTATAGTTAATTCTTTATTTAGAGAGAAGACTAGTTTCCTCTAATCTTTGCTTCATATGTTAATTATTTCCGCAGAACTTTTATATTTGTCTTAGATATAGACAAGATCTAGAAATATTCCAACACCCTTTTCACGCAGTCAATAATCTAAATCTCATCATCTATTTTCCAAATTAAGTATACCTTTTTGATATGTTGTAGTTGTTTCTTTAATTTGAGAGAAAACTAGTTTGCTGCAATCTTTGCTTCATATTTAATTATTTCCGCAGAACTTTTATATTTGTCTTAGATATAGACGACAATCGCGAAATATTCTATCAAACTTTTCAGGCAGTCACTAGTCTAATTCTAAGCATCTATATTTTATCAATTAATTGTATACTTCTTTGATATGTTGTAGTTTTTTCTTTATTTAGAGAGAAAACTAGTTTCCTCCAATCTTTGCTTCATATTTAATTATTTGCGCCGAACATTTATATTTGTCTTACATATAGACAAAAATTGAGAAACATTCCAACACCCTTTTCATGCAGTCACTAATCAGAATCTAAGCATCTATTTTCTCAATTAATTGTATACTTTTTTGATATGTTGTAGTTATTTAATTATTTTGTGTTAAAACTAATCTCCTCCAATCTTTGCTTTATATTTAATTATTTCCGCTGAACATTTATATTTGTCTCACATATAGACAAAAATCGAGAAATATTCCAACACCCTATTCGCGCAGTCACTAATCTGAATCTAAGCATCTATTTTCTCAACTAATTGTATACTTCTTTTATATGTTTTTGTTATTTCTTTATTTTGAGAGAAAACCAGTCTTCTCCAATCTTTGCTTTATATTTAATTATTTCCGCAGAACATTTATATTTGTCTTACATATAGACGAAAATTGATAAACATTACAACACCCTTTTCATGCAGTCAGTAATCTGAATCTAAGCATCTATTTTCTCAATTAATTGTATACTTCTTTTATATGTTGATGTTATTTCTTTATTTAGAGAGAAAACTAGTTTTCTCCAATCTTTGCTTCATATTTAATTATTTCCGCAGAACATTTATATTTGTCCTTCATATAGACAAGAATCGAGAAATATTCCTATACCCTATTCTCGCAGTCAATAATCTGAATCTAAGCATCTATTTTCTCATTTAATTGTATACTTCTTTGATATGTTGAAGTTATTTCCTTATTTTGAGAGAAAACTAGTTTCCTTCAATCTTTGCTTTATTTTCAATTATTTCCGCAGAACTTGTTTATTTGTCTTACATATAGACAAGAATCGAGAAATATTCCAACACCCTTTTCATGCAGTCACTAATATAAATCTAAGCATCTATTTTCTCAATTAATTGTATACTTCTTTTATATGTTGTAGTTATTTCTTTTTTTAGAGAAAAAACTAGTTTGCTCCAATCTAAGCTTCATATTTACTTATTTCCGCAGAACATTTATGTTTGTCTTACACATAGAGAAAAATCGAGAAATATTCCAGCACCCTTTTCACGCAGTCAATAATCTAAATCTAAGCATCTATTTTCTAAATTAATTGTATACTTTTTTGATATGTTGTAGTTATTTCTTTATTTAGAGAGAAAAGTAGTTTGCTCCAATCTTTGCTTCTTATTTAATTATTTCCGCAGAACTTTTATATTTGTCTTAGATATAGACGAAAATCGCGAAATATTCAATCACACTTTTCATGCAGTCACTAATCTAATTCTAAGCATCTATATTTTATCAATTAACTGTATACTTCTTTGATATGTTGTAGTTTTTTATTAATTTAGAGAGAAAACTAGTTTCCTCCAATCTTTGCTTCATATATAATTATTTTTGCAGGACTTTTATATTTGTCTAACATATAGGCAAGAATCGAGAAATATTCCAACTCAATATTCACGCAGTCACTAATCTAATTCAAAGCATCTATATTTTATCAATTAATTGAATACTTCATTGATATGTTGTAGTTTTTTCTTTATTTAGAGAGAAAACCTGTTTAATCTAATATTTACTTCATATTTAATTATTTCCTCAGAACATTTATATCTGTCTTACATATAGACAAGAATCGAGAAATATTCCAACACCCTTTTCATGCTTTCACTAATCTGAATCTAGGCAACTATTTTCTCAATTAATTGTATACTTCCTTGATATGTTGTAGTTATTTATTTATTTTGAGAGAAAACTAGTCTCCTTAATCTTTGCTTTATAATTAATTATTTCCGCTGAATATTTATATTTGTCTTACATATAGACAAAAATTGAGAAATATTCCAATACCCTTTTCATGCAGTCACTAATCTGAATCTAAACATGTATTTTCTCAATTAATTGTATACTTCTTTTATATGTTGTAGTTACTTCTTAATTTAGAGAGAAAACTAGTCTCCTCCAATCTTTGCTTTATATTTAATTATTTGCGCCGAACATTTGTATTTGTCTTTCATATAGACGAAAATCGAGAAATATTCCAACACCCTTTTCATGCAGTCACTAATCTAAATCTAAGCATCTATTTTCTCAATTAATTTTATACCTCTTTGATATGTTGTAGTTATTTCTTTATTTAGAGAGAAAACTAGTTTCCTCCAATCTTTGCTCTATATTTAATTATTTGAGCCGAACATTTATATTTGTCTTACACATAGACAAAAGTCGAGAAATATTCCAACACCCTTTTCACGCAGTCTCTAATCTAAATCTGAGCATATTTTTCTCAATTAATTAAGCACTTCTTTGATACGTTGTAGTTATTTCTTTATTGAGAGAGAAAACTAATTTCCTCCATTCTTTGCCTCATATTTAATTATATCCGCCAAACTTTTTTATCATTCCTACATATAGACGAAAATCGAGAAATATTCCAACATCCTACTCTCGCATTCACTAATCTAATTCTAAGCATCTATTTTTTCAATTAATCGTAAACTTCCTTGATGTGTTGTAGTTATTTCTTTATATAGAGAGAAACAAGTTTCCTCCCATCTTTGCTTTATATTTAATTATTTCCGCTGAACGTTTTTGTCATTCTTACATATAGACAAGAATCGAGAAATATTCCAACAACCTTTTCACGCAGTCACTAATCTAAATCTGAGCATCTATTTTTTCAATTAATTGTACACTTCTTTGATATGGGTTGGTTATTTCCTTATTTAGAGAGAAAACTAGTTTCCTCCAATCTTTGCTTTATATTTAATTATTTGAGCCGAACATTTGTATTTGTCTTTCATATAGACGAAAATCGAGAAATATTCCAACACCCTTTTCATGCAGTCACTAATCTAAATCTAAGCATCTATTTTCTAAATTAATTGTATACTTTTTTGATATGTTGTAGTTATTTCTTTAATTTGAGAGAAATCTAGTTTGTTGCTATCTTTGCTTTATGTTTAATTATTTCCGCAGAACTTTTATATTTGTCTTACATATATGCAAAAATTGAGAAATATTCGAACACCCTTTTCATGCAGTCAATAATCTGAATCTAAGCATCTCTTTTCTCATTAATTGTATACTTCTTTTATATGTTTTAGATATTTCTTTAGTTTGAGAGAAAACCAGTCTTCTCCAATCTTTGCTTTATATTTAATTATTTCCGCAGATCTTTTGTATTTGTCTTACATATAGACAAGAATCGAGAAATATTCAACCACCCTTTTCATGCAGTCACTAAACTAAATCTTAGCATCTATTTTCCCAATTAATTGTATACTTCTTTGATAAGTAGTAGTTATTTCTTCATTTAGAGAGAAAACTAGTCTCCTCCAATCTTTGCTTCTAATTTAATTATTTCCGCCGAACATTTATGTTTGTCTTACATATAGACATGAATCGAGAAATATTCCAGCACCCTTTTCACGCAGTCAATAATCTAAATCCAGGCAACTATTTTCTCAATTAATTGTATACTTCCTTGATATGTTGTAGTTATTTATTTATTTTGAGAGAAAACTAGTCTCCTTAATCTTTGCTTTATATTTAATTATTTCCGCTGAACATTTATATTTGTCTTTCATATAGACGAAAATCGAGAAATATTCCAACACCCTTTTCATGCAGTCACTAATCTAAATCTAAGCATCTATTTTCTCAATTAATTGTATATTTCTTTGATATGTTGCAGTTATTTATTTATTTTGAGAGAAAACTAGTTTCCTCCCATCTTTGTGTCATGTTTAAATTATATCCACTGAACATTTAAGTTTTTCTTACGTATAGACAAAAATCGAGAAATATTCCAACACCTTTTTCATGCATTCACTAATCTAAAACTATTGATTGAATGTAGAAGTTTTATGGCACAAGATCCAAAGGAGGATATGCTGCGCCAAACAATTTGTTGAGTTAGATCTAATGGTAAATTGCACACAATAGTTTCATTGTCGTAAAATAAATGAAACGAATAAAATTGTTTATCTCAAGACACGTATTTTTAAAAGTTCATAAAATCAATAAAAGCGTAATTCTATAAAATACACAGAAGAGGTAAAACGGTTCATGGGTAGGAAATAAGAGTGAATAAAATCAGATCAAACAGTTATATACAATATAAAATACCAATAGCTCGCAGAAATGCGAAAATGTTAGGATGATGAATATCATCTAACAAATCCTTCATACATAAAATCGTGCTATTAAAAAAGGTAAGACGATGTTGGTTAAAACAAGGACAAATGGTTAAAATGTGATGAACCGTAAGTAAAGTATTTTTTTAATTCTATNTGTGGCCGATTCTGAGACGATTAAGCTTTACATCTGCATTACGTAAACGTAATACAGGTAAGGGGTCTATATATGGTTTGATGTTATGAAGTTTATTTTGAGTTTGAAGGTCCCAATGCTGTTGCCAAAGGGACGAGATGAGCTGTCGAACATGTAGTTTAATGTCTGAGAATGGTACAGATATTGTTAATTCAGTAGTTGCAGATCGTGCTGCAGAATCAGCCAACTCATTCCCTGGGATACCGACGTGACTCGGTATCCAGCAAAATGAAATATTAAATCCCTTCTTGTGAAGAGCGATTAATAAATGATTAATGAAGCATAAAATTGGGTGAGTGTCACTGCGAAAATTTTCTAACTGGTTCAAAACGCTCTTACTATCGGAGTATATAAAATACTTTCGTTCGGAGCGTGAAGAAATCAGCCGCAATGCCAAAAGGATGGCAACAGCTTCCGCAGTGAAGACGGAACAAATATCTGGGATCTTGTAGCTATAAGTATCATCAGCGATGATGACACCACAGCCTACGTATCCCGTCGATTTTGATCCGTCAGTATATACAGGCATATACTCACAATATTGGTGGCGATGAGAATTGAATATTTGTTGATAAATGATGGATGCAACATTAGATTTACTGTACAACTTAAAAAGGGAATAAAATTGATATGGTGAGATGATCCATGGTGGTATGAGAAGATGATCTAAGCATCTATTTTCTCAATTAATTGTATACTTCTTTGATATGTTGTAAATATTTTTTTATTTAGAGAGAAAACATGTTTCCTCCAATCTTTGCTTTATATTTAATTATTTCCGCCGAATATTTATAATTTTCTTTCATATGAACAAAAATCGATAAATATTCCAACTCCCTATTCACGCAGTCACTAATCTAAAACTACACATCTATTTTCTCAATTAATTGTATATTTCTTTGATATGTTGTTGATATTTTTTTATTTAAAGAGAAAACAAGTTTCCTCCAACCTTTGCTTTATATTTAATTATTTCCGCTGAATATTTATAATTTTCTTAGATATGAAAAAAAAAATCGAGAAATATTCCAACACCCTATTCACGAAGTCACTGATCTAAAACTAAGCATCTATTTTCTCAATTAATTGTATGTTTCTTTGATATGATGTAGTTATTTATTATTTAGAGAGAATACTAGTTTCTTCCAATCTTTGCTTTATATTTAATTATTTCCGCAGAACTTTTATATTTTTCTTACATATAGACAAGAATCGAGAATTATTCCAACACCCTTTTCATGAAGTCACTAATCTGAATCTAAGCATCTATTTTTTGAGCTAATTGTATACTTTTTTGATATGTTGTAGTTATTTCTTTATTTTTAGAGAAAGCTAGTTTCCTCCAATCTTTGCTTCATATTTAATTATTTCCGCAGAACTTTTGTATTTGTCTTACATATAGGGAAGAATCGAGAATTATTCCAACACCCTTTTCATGCAGTCACTAATCTGAATCTAAGCATCTATTTTCTCATTAATTGTGTACTTCTTTTATATGTTTTAGTTATTTCTTTATTTTGAGAGAAAACCATTTTTCTCCAATCTTTGCTTTATATTTAATTATTTCCGCTTAACATTTATATTTGTCTTACATATAGACAAAAATTGAGAAATATTCCAACACCCTTTTCATGCAGTCACTAATCTTAATCTAAGCATATATTTTCTCAATTAGTTGTATACTTCTTTGATATGATGTAGTTATTTCTTTACTTAGGGAGAAAACTATTATTCTCCAATCTTTGCTTTATATTTAATTATTTCCGCTGAACATTTATATTTGTCTTACATATAGACGACAATCGAGAAATATTCCAACACCCTATTCACGCAGTCACTAATCTATATCTAAGCATCTATTTTCTCAATTAA